TCAATATTTGACACCGTTTTGGCTAGTCAACGATCAATTTACGGGGAAAAGCTAAAATTTTCCAAGCTATTTAGCCAATAATGGCAAATCCATGAAAGATATCAACATGAAACTTTCACGACCGTGTTTCCCAATGAATTAGCAACAAAATGATGCATAGCTCACTGCAGTTCAGTCAATACTGGCGTGACATAGTCCCCGGGAACACGAGAGTCACACCCGCCGCTGGCGAGGACGGTCCTAATTGACCTGAGGTGACCTTGTACAGATCGAGGAACAATTTTGAAAGCATTTAGATGAAGATTGAACCACAGATTCGGATTCAGGACCTCAAGAAACCCCACTAAACACAGACATGCGAGGTCAATGACCTTTGTTGACCTTAGAAATGTCAATATACAATGTAATGTTTCATGTCCTGTCAAAATCTGACATAAGTCACACAGAATAATTTCGTTCTTGTCGATGGGATCGCGTCCAGTTACGCCAGATGTACGATTTTGTCAAAAAGAGTCGGAGGTTTTACCTATTGTGAGGTTATAGCTCGGTGACCTGACATGACCCGAAAATATTTTTTACCGAAAGATTGAGCTGAAAGTTAGCAAGTAGGTAGGCACCCACTAAGCCATGCATATCCATGTGCCAGATTTGGGGTGCTGTTGCACGTGCGCACGTGCAGGGGTCGATTCCAGATCTCGAAGACGGCTGGACCGATTGCGCTCAAATTTGGTACACGGTTAGGGAGCAGTTGGTAGGGTGCCGTGCAAAAGTCAGTTGGGACCCAGTTGGCACGTGCGCACATGCAGGGTGCCGCTTCCAGATCTCGAGAACGGCTGGGCCGATTGCGCTCAAATTTGGCACATCACTAGGGACCGGTTAGTAGGTCTTGGGGTGCAGTGCACAAGTTATTTGGTGGTACCCCCTCGCAATTTCGCACGTGCAAGGCCCACCCTCCCGCTCACTTCGTTGGTCGCCCCAAAAGGCGTTTTACTGGTGTGCACGATTACTTTATAAAAATGCTGAAGTGTTGCAAGTGATTGACAAATATTGTCCAAAGCATGCTGCCTTTGTCCAACCAAATTCCGATTTGGGCATAGGACAAAATCGGAATTCTGAAGGTTCAAAATCCAATTGGCACCACTCTAACAGATGTGGTAAGGTTGTGATAGGTTTTACCGAACGGAGATATAGACGATCTGCACAACTGACGAGAGAAGCCAACCTCTGTCAACTGGCTGGTGTGCAGCAAGCAGATATTGATATTCTGCAACGGTTATTTTTGTTGTTGTTTTAATCTTTCTTCAATAAGGTACCTATGTTAGAGCTGTTGTGCCTATTTGTTTATACACCAAACAACATCGGTGATAGCCAGATAACTATTTCATGGCGTGCAAAGAAAGACTGTTCAAGTTACCCAACGGTCGGGTTATTTGAATACACCGTCACTTGACGGAGAAGCAAGGCTTTACTTCACATTTTTCAAAAAATATGTTCAACTTGAAACTTGATGCACTCTATGGCAATGACTCTTGTGAAGTTGTTCTTAGGAAAATAAAAATTTATTTCATTGGCTTCCACTCGCCAAACCCGCTTTTCCTATAGCTTAATCAAGGGATGAATCACTGGGTGGTTCTTTCGACCCCTCCTCACCCTCCTGCAATTGAAGTTAGCCGTTGGCAAAGACACTAATTCGTGCAGGGGCTCATTTTCACTTGTCCTTTTAATGTAATCGGTGACTTAAGCCGCCGGCCAAATGAACAAAAATCCATACAAACCCAGGTGATGCCACAGGCCCACGGCCCTCATCCTTGTCAGCGTCCACTCCCTCGGCGGCTTGTCAGCGTCCACTCCCTCGGCGGCGGCGGCGGCGGCCCGCCGTGCCGTGCACCGCGGCATGTTACCTCTCGCCGCGTCAGGGGCCGCGGGGCGGGACGCTACCCCCCGCTGCGACAGGCGACCCCTGGGCCTGGGCACCGCCGCGGCGGGCGACGGACGACAATAGCGCAAACAAAGGATGGGGCCGCCAGTCAGCCGGCGTAGTGAATGGGTAAATCCTTACTCGATAACACAGCAGGGACTGCTCCACGAACACGGGCAGGCCGTACGGCAGTAGACATTCGATGGAATAGGCGATTCGGGCGTAGGTCAGCCGGGCGTAGGTCACCCGGGCGTAGACATTCGATGGAGTAGGCGATTCGGGCGTAGGTCAGCCGGGCGTAGGTCACCCGGGCGTAGACATTCGATGGAGTAGGCGATTCGGGCGTAGGTCAGCCGGGCGTAGGTCACCCGGGCGTAGACATTCGATGGAGTAGGCGATTCGGGCGTAGGTCAGCCGGGCGTAGGTCAGCCGGGCGTAGACATTCGATGGAGTAGGCGATTCGGGCGTAGGTTAGCCGGGCGTAGGTCAGCCGGGCGTAGACATTCGATGGAGTAGGCTATTCGGGCGTAGGTCAGCCGGGCGTAGGTCAGCCGGGCGTAGACATTCGATGGAGTAGGCGATTCGGGCGTAGGTCAGCCGGGCGTAGGTCACCCGGGCGTAGACATTCGATGGAATAGGCGATTCGGGCGTAGGTCACCCGGGCTGATCCCGCTCAGTCCTGGAAGTGGCTCATCGGAGCGAGCGAGCGGCAATGTCGTGCTGCCGGCGGCTGGACTGTTGGTGTGGACAATTCGCAAGGCGGTGGTCTTTCTAGGCTCTTTCCCCACATACACAGGTATTTGCGAGATTTAATAATGGTGAGCGACAGCCAGTCTGATCGCGTGGATAAGCAGGCTTCGTTTTGGTGAAGAGGCTACACAAACTAGTGACGGCATTGCCGTTCCTTTACCAGGGGTAGCTTGCCGCTCTGTATCTGAACAAGTTGGCTGCTCATCTCCGGCATTCGATGGACTATTAAATTCCTCTCTGGACGAGCCGTGATCCTCTGTTTATCTCAGTTTGTATCTCCGGCCGTTTCCCGGCCCCGGTCGATGTGTTCGCTGGGGATGGCTGATACACACGGGGGGTGGAGCGGGTTGGTTACCGCCGGAGGTCGAACTAACGGCTGAAATAATCACTGCAGGACTGGGGCTGAGCTGGTGCTGTGCCGGCAAACACAGGGCTGGACTAATGTGATGGTGCTGGGCTGTTGCTGGTGATTGTGTTGGAAGCTAGAACTGGAACTGAAATGGTGCTAGGCGGGTGTCTTTGGCAGGTGTTGACCTAACACTGTTCTGAATTGCTCTGGCGCATCTGGAGAATCCTCGGGGGTCGTGCAGGTGGTAGCTTATGCAATGCATATTCATTTCGTAATCCTTGGTTCAAGCGAAAAGTTATGCGCCAACACTCCATTCACTGTTTGTAATCCCATCGTCCTATTTGATATGCAATGAAAGAATAAGGGCAGTGGTTGATAATGAATTATTAAATGCCGTGTTTCATATTTGATTGATTAATTTAATATTAACATGCAAATTAAGAAAGTGGAGAGACATTTAATAACGAATAAATTAAACCCGCCTCTGAGCTTGGGTTCGTAGCTGAGCAAGAATTCTCCGCAGGGGCAATCTCGGCTACCATCCCGGGAGATTATTGCGTCACTAACTCTTCCCGGCAGACCACTGGGTCCACCGGGCCCAGACTGGTCCACTGATGGTGGGTGGTCTCGGGGTCCGGCGACTGCCGCGGTCCGGACCGGCGTGGTCCCGCGGCGGTCAGTCCACTGCGCGCCGGTCCAGCTGGGACCGTTCCCCGTCGCGGCGCTCAGAGGATAGTCTCCGCCGCCAGTCTGCCGCTGCCCCTCGGCAGAATCTGCCGATCGATGGGCGCTCATAAGCGCTGCCGCGCTACCGGCGAGATTTCGGCCGCCACAAACCGTCTCAGCCGACGCCGGACGGCCGTGTTTATACTGGCCGCCGTGATTGCATTTCAATTCGCCATCAACGGTGACATCTAAATCCCCTCACCTTCCTTTGATGCTCTCCATCCACCAGAGCCCACTGGGTAAATGTGGGTTCAAAGTGAGTGGTCTGAGCGACGCTGAGGGAATTCCCCAGCTTTTTAGCGATTTGCTATTCTCAGTGATGTACAAGTACAAAAGGAAGTTCCTTAACAATGTAAAGGAAAGGTATTAGTTTGGCTCTTGTTAATATGACCATACTGTAACGATTACCTTGATAAAACCATTGCTGTCTCCCAATAGGTATTACGGAAATACTTACCACTTGAAAACTTCCTAGCTGACAACTGCTGATTAAATGTGATATGGATCTGATCTTTAGAACTATTTACAGAAGAAGTATTTGCTATTTAGAACTATCTAGAACCGGAGGGCTGCTCTGACGTGACTCAGTCGCCGCTGAGGGCTGTAACGTCTTACCCGAGCTTTTGATTCTACCCTCACCTGCCTCCCAATTCCACCGTCCGCCATCCACTGCAGCCCGTATGTCATTTGTCCACTCTGGGGACACCTGACGGCGTCTACTGTCCACTGTCCGCCATCCAATGCAGCCCGGATGTCATTTGTCCACTCTGGACACCAGACGGCGTCTACTGTCCACTGTCGGGTGTCCACTCCTCCTCTTCTCAGCACCATATAAACCGTCAGCCGTGTGGACTCCTTTCTTTCGGTAGCGCCCTGCTTCCAGCAGTGTCGCTCTGGTGTTGAGCGACCCTCAGTTACGTCTTTGTGCTGCTCAGTGTTGTCTGGTGCCCCGGTGGTTCTTCATTGCTTCTGGTGACCCTGCTCTGCTTCTCAGTGGCTCTACACTGCTCCCAGTAGTCCTCACTGCTCCTAGTGACCTATAGCTCTGCTCCTGCTGACACTGGGGTACGATCAGTGGCCCCCAATGCTGCTCCTCCTGACCCCGCTGTATGTACCTGCAGGTGGCCAGCAGTGACCCCACTTCCAGCAGTGACCCTGCACTGCTGCTCCCACTAACCCCGCGCTGCTCGCTGTGCCGCCGGGTGGCCAGCACGGGCTCACTGCTGACTGACCCCGGGTCACCCTCTGTACCGCCAGGTGGCCAGCACGGGCTCTGTGCTGCCGGTGCCGGCCGACTGGAGCTGCCGCCGTCAGGGCTGGCTGTGGCGCCGCAGCGGCCCGGCCGGTGTCGCCCCATCCGGTACCGCCGCCGACTGGAGGCGGCGCTGGGCCGTCCTGCAGCCGGACGCCCTGCTGTTCCTGTACAAACGAGCCGAGGTGAGGGGACGTCGCGCGGGATCCACTGGGGGATTGCGCTACCCAATTTACTTACTCATCGTGGTTTGCTTGATCCTGTTTGTCTTGTTATGGCGATTCTCCATCCATTGCCAAAGGCTACTACATAGGCTCTACCAACCGCGGCTCTGGACTGCTGTTGCCGGAAGTTGATGACTACTAGAGCTCCTTGTGGAATCCGATACACATGCTCCACTCAAGGACACAACCAAGGCCATAGAAACTACGACACAACACGAAATGAATGCTGTTCAGCCACCTTAACATCTGAATTATGTGGCAACTTTGGAGTAATCACGCGCTGAAACTTCTGGATGAGCTAGGATGATAGTTTCCAAGATTGCTATATTGAATGTATATTGCAGAATGCAGTTGTTACTTTCGGTTTGGAGTTTCTGTAATGTGCAGTATTTGTATGCGTATGTGCAAACATTAGATCATGCTTTTTTCATTCTTACCTTGGTTTGCTTATATGAGCTTAAACTACCACTGCCCACACACATATATACAATCGCAACCGCAAAACAATTGATGGGCTATGAACAGTGAACACTAGAGGACCTGCGATGCCAGCTGAAGCCAAGCTATCTGACCAGCTCACCGAATGTCTATGGCCTGGGGCGATAGACTGCAGGCTACCGCTGCATCACCCGGTGACCTTTGTACCGCGGCGCACGTGCCACGTGGCGGACCGACGTGCGGGCCGGCCGGTCAGCCAACCAGCTCACATTACTCCGTCTCCGGCCGAAATAAACGTCCCGACAATGTGGCCGAACGACTGTAAAGCTAGATAAACGTGCTGAGCTCACGTCCGCACCGCACTGCGCCGCTGCAGCCACAGTGCGGGTATTTGCATTTTCAACGGCACTGAAACGTTTCGTCCGCTCCTGCGGGACAGTATTTTAGGAAGGCCGGTTATTACGCTGATTTGATGGAACCGGAAAATAAATTGTCATGGAGAGTTGCTGGAACGTTGCCGTAAAGCAACTCTTTGAGGCATGGCAGCACTGAGAGCCTTGTGGTTTTCAACAGAATTCTGAGCAATGTGTTTCCCGTTGTTATATCATGGTATGGTAGCCTAATTTATCACAAACAAACACCAGTTGTTTGGTGCGTTTTCGGTGATACTGCTTCCATTAAAATAGAAAGCCTGCCCTGTGGTTATTTTCAGTTGGTTTCAGACCGGCTCAGACGCAGCCTGCGGTCGTTGATGCTGAGTTTTGGACCAGCTCGTCTGAGCGGCGTCTTCTGACTGTGACGTTACATTAGACCACGTCATGTCCAGGCCGCCGTAACTCACACTGAAATATGTCGGCAGTGGGGGCCGGGGCCACTGACGCTCGTCAGGGCAGATTACGAGTATGACGGCCGGCGCCACCGCGCAGTTTTGTGGACGACGAGGGTAGCGGTCGCCGTTTCTGCTCTATAGGGATTACCCCTGCTTGTGAAGCTGTTTGAAAGGACCGAAAACGCGGACTGTTAGCTGCCTCGGCGTGCGATTCTGGTGTCTTCTGCTGCTGAGTCGAGGCCTGGCGGCGGGAGGGATGCTGCCCTGGTGATTCGTCAGACCATTTCAGCTACAGATGAGAGGTCTTCTGACGAGTGGCCCGGCCTGAAGGGCCGCGGACCGCGTCAGGCTGGAAGTATTAGACGGCGCCTGAGATGGAGATTAACGCTTTGGGAATTTTGCCAGCTCAGCCTGGCGTGGAGGCAGTTGGTGTGAATGGGACCATGTTCTGCGCTAATCTCCACAGCTCTTCAAGCTGGATCCACGCCGAGGGGAGGGATATGCCTACTTCAGTCTCATTCCGCTGGCGTGTCACTCAGTCCGTGCCGAAAGTGTCCGCTGCCTTTGTCTTTGTGAGCTAACTCGAGCTCAGAGCTACGACGTCTCACCAACTTCAGAGTTTACCCACACCGCTCCAGGAATTGACCACAACTCGCGGCGTCCGGTCCTGATCCGACCGCGGGGCTGGCGGTCACGGCCGGCACAGGGCTCTCAGCTCTGGCGACCGTCGGTGTCACCGGAATCGATGTACAGACCACAAACACTGTCCGACGTTCGGGTCAGATGCGCGGCGCCGTAGAGGCAGGGCGATGGTGGCGGCAGATTGAACCGGACTGGATGTGGCGCAGTGGGACTGGGTTGGAATTGATGGGAGTCGACAGTTGGGTTTATTGATTCTGACATTGTTTAGACCAGTCTGGAAAATGATAATGAGGATTATGACTGATGGCAGTGCTATTCAATCAGTAGGCGGCGACTATGCTTTGTTTTCTGGCGAATGACTAATCGACATCATTTTTATCGTCGTTAAACTATGCACCTGTAACTCGCTTGCCTTTTTCGTTTCATTTCTTGTCATTTTTTGTAGAGGTGTGTTACCAATCCTTCGGGGCTCGGGCAGAGCGTTTCTCCGACTCGGGCCGTTTGCCGTCTGTGCCGTCTGATATCAGTTCCACACCGTGTCGGCGTAGCGGGCGGCTGCAGCCCGCCGCGCCGCCGCCCCCCCCCGAACAGCCAATATGTCTGGCGGCAGGGGGCGTCGTTGGCGGCGCCCACCCCATGCCGCTGCTCAGGAGGGTGTGGGACAGGCGGCCAGCGGGCAGACCCGAGTCTGACGCCGTACCGAGGTCGCTGTCAGACAGCGGCAACGAACTGCGCTTCTCTGGGTTCTATGTTTGGAGCTCTCCGGCGCAGTGAGCATCCGAAGCGGATAGATCGCACCGTATTGAACGGTGTCGAACGCTGCGCGATGAATCGGACGAATACCGGCACTGAATGCAGGTTATTAACGGTTAACTGAGCTGTGAATGAGCAGAGAATGTCGCTTCAGCCTCGGTGGCCTTTGATGATGAAGCCATCGAGGACTCAAATCGTGCTTTGATGATATGACGTGAAGCTGACTTCAATGGCTAGCATTACCTAATGGAGAAGGCACGCGTCTGATGACATACTTTTTATCTTAAGTGGTTGGTACTTGGTTCATCTATTCCTTGCGACAGTTTGCTCCCGTGCAGCAGGAATATGTGAGCCTTGAATGAGTGCTAAAGCTGATGGAGGTCACAGGGTCAGCATCGACGGGATAGCATTTTGTCCGAGACCGGGTGGGTCAGCAATGCAGCGTCAAGTTTCAGTGGAACTGAACAGCTATCGATCGACCCCCTCTCGACCACCCCACTCTGACACTGGGCAGATGAGGGACACAGCGCTCCGTCGGGGAGCGGGAGGGGGTGACTGCTGAGGGAGGGTGATACCCGGGAATCCCGCTGCTGAATGCGGCCTGTGAAAATGCAGCCAGTTGTAAACGGGCCTCTACTCAATGAGGTGGCGGTGACAGATGGCAGGGGAGCTCTGTGTCATCTGGCAGAATGTAAACAGTTTCAGCTCCGCGGGGGATCTTTCGTAATCTATGAGGCTCCAAAAGATTTAATATGTTTTTAGCAGTTTGATGAACACGACATTTGTGCTTTGAGTTAATTTCAAATTATTATTTATTAATTCGAATAAACTTGACCCGGCCTTATAACTGGAGCAGTTTTCATCTCCAGTGCTGACTGTTCCTATATTTCCTAAGAGTTTTTTTTTCTGTTCGCCGGGAGTTTGTCCCATCCTCAATGTCTCAAGGATGACGTGTGTTGTGCGTTGTGCATTGTAGCATCTGCATTTTTTTAAAAAATATTTATGCTCGTAGAACTGCATATTGGTAGCATCAATAGAATGCATAAATTATTTGGTTTGATGCTGGTAAGCTCTTCGGTTCTATAAGCTGTCCGTTGATCAGCAGCTGCCGGTCATTGACGGTGCCGTTAGTCAGATGGCTGGGTCTGGGACTGCTCCTATTGCTGTCCGTTGTCCCGCTGACCCGCCGACCTCCGTCCCCAGGACGTGCACCCGGTGCTGGGGCTCAGCCTGGCGGACTGTTCAGTCACTGCTGGTTCCGACTGCGGCCGAGAGATGGCGTTCACAGTGCGCGGCGCCGGCTCGGAGCCGGTAGCGCTGGCTGCTGAGACAGAGTCCGAGAGGGACGACTGGCTGGAAGCGCTCCGTTCTGCTGCTGAGGAGGCTGCCGCGGTAAGAGTTCGGGGCACCGGGGGTTCCGTGTACAGACTGTGATTAAAGAGGAGTCGCCAGCATGTTTTGATTCGTCGAATAGTTGCACGCAGCATGCAACTGTCCGTTTATTTGTCATCCTATACACAATAGCTGGTAACTGCACTGCACTTTCATCTTTCCAGAAAAGGTGTTTAACATTTGTTTATTAACCCGCGCACCGACGGGGGTCTGCGCCAACTTAGTACCGACGGGGGGGGCGGATGACCGCCCCCCCCCTGAGATCTCGAGAACGAAGCAAGATAGCGACAAGCGGTAAACGGCATCGGATACGCACGGTCAAGATCTACAATTTTTACTAAGGTCATTTTCAGGTCAGGTCAAAGATGACGTCACAGGGGTCGAAAAAGTCAAAATGGCGGCGCTAAATATGGAGAGAGTTTTTCTCGAATAACTTTCGAATTAGTCAAGATAGGAACAAACTAAGGGCATCATCGTGATCCTCTCGTCAATCCGCATCGAATGATATATATGTTGACCTCGAAAGGTCAAGGTCAAAGGTTGACCTCAGGTCACGTGACCTCGAGGTCATCATGTATATCATTCGATGCGTCTTGATGAGCTGAACACAATGAGACCATCCACGCGTCTGTATCTTGTTCCTGTACGGAGTTATTGGCCAAAAACCTTTGGTGACCTTTGATGACGTCACATGACCTCACAGCTGCCCAACAGCAAAACAGACCTCAAGGTAGTGAAGGTTGATCGTATATGAAGTCATGTATGGTATATGGGGCCATTCCGACCCGTTTTAGTGGTAAAAACAGGGAGTTGATTTTTCCCCCATTGACTTATAATGGGGAGGTCGCGAAATTGACCTGACCTTAGGTCACCGATATCAAAATTCCGAGATAAACAAATTGTAGCTATTAATGACCTAATAACATCCTGCGACTTTCAAAGGCCTCCGACATCTACTGTAGCTCTGGCACGGTGACAAAGTTGCAAAAAAGTGACTTGAGGTTGGGTCATTCAAAGTGACCTGGTGACCTGACCTTGAAAGGTAGGAGGTTCAAACTTGCACACCATGTGTAAAATTGATAAGGGAATAGTCATACCAAATTTCGCGGCGCTACGCGCCGCGGTTTTCCCGCTATTCGCGAAAAACCTCAGGGGGGGCGGATATCCGCCCCCCCCCCGTCGGTGCGCGGGTTAACTGATGATCAATAAGTTTGTTCCTCGTTTACTGTAAATAAACAAGTCTTGCATGCGTTATCGCCTCACAGTTGTGACCTGATTTTCCCTCTGCCCTGCCCTGTCCGGAGCTGATTGTCCCCTGTCCCGTCCCCGACCGGAGTGTCCACTGTCCGCTCTCTCTCTCTCTCTCCGTCCCGCCCCTGACCTGTCCGCCTCCTCTCCTCCGGCGGCAGGCGCGGCACGCCGCCGCCTCCAGTGGCCTGGTTCCCGTCGGCACCGCCATCGGCTCCACCCGACCGGCCTCGCAGCGTCCCGGGCCGAGCCGACACCGGACGGGAACGAGCCCGCACCTCGGCGGGGTCAGGAGTGCTGACCAGGCGCTGCAACGAGAGGCACGGTCCGGTGGGGAAGAGATTAGGGAAACACCGGAGCCTGGAGGGACTGACCTGAGGGCTGGGGAGAGCGGCGGACGAACAGAGTCGAAAGATGAGAGCGGGCTGATGGAAACTCCGGGGAAGGAGAGCGTCGTGTCGGTGAAATCACCGGGCGAGGAGAGTTTCCTGTCGGTCTGGTCTCACGGAGAGCCGAGTTTTGAGGCGGGCGGACCACACGACACCGATGGCAGTGGCGTGCTGACTCAGAGTGAGGCCTACCAGAGCTGTGAGACCACCCTGGCTCTGAGCGAGCCGGACTCGGAGGCCGGGCTGGACCGATCGGACACGGGCGCACGGTCGGCGCTAGGTGAGCTCGCCCGTGAGGTGCCTGGGGCTGGAGGTGGGAGGGCGTCGGATGATGGACCCTCGGTGGATGAAGCTGAGGAAGACGAACCAGCGCCAGATCTAGCTGAGGTAGACAATGAACCAGCGGCAGGATCATTGCTGGCCGAAGCTGAGACCGAAGGCGACCAAGTGCTGGAGCAGGCTGAACTAAGCGACGATTCAGTGCTGAACCAAGATGAACAAGACAATGAACCAGCGCTCGATCAGATGTATTCAGAAGATGAACCATTGTCGGACCAAGGAGGGGCAGAGGACAAACAAGCGTCGGACCAATATGGGCCAAATGATGAACCACCATTGAACGAGGCTGAGACAGACTATGAACCAGAGGTGGATCAAGCTAAGACAAATTATGATCATACGTTGGACCAGGATGAAGTAGGCAGTGAACCAACATTCGACAAAGCTGATTCAGATGAACCATTTATGGACCAATCAGAGACTGAGGACGAACAAGCGTCGGACCAAGCTGAACCGGTGTTTGACCAAGCTGAGACAGAGGAACCAGGATTGTGTGAAGCTGATGTAGGTGATGACCCAGCACTGGACCATAATGAGCAAGACAATGATCCGGCACTTGATCAAGCAGATTCAGAGGATGAATCAGCGCTGGACCAATCTGAGACAGACCATGAATCAGCGTTGGGACGAGATCAAACAGACCATGAATCAGTGCTGGACCAAGATGAGACAGATTATAAACCTGTGCCGGGGCCGAAGTTCGACCAGGATCAAGCAGGCAGTGAACCAGATCTGACTCCTGCTGAGACGGACGATGAACCAGTACCGGATCAAGGTGGTTCAGACGATGAACTGCCGTCGGACCAGGTTGAAGCAGCAGTCGAACCAGCACTGTATCAAGTTGAGGGTGACGATGAACCAGCGTTGTACCGCAATGAAACAAGTAACGAATCAGTGTTTGACGAAGGTGGGACTGGTGATGAACCATTGTTGGACCAAGGTGAGGTAGACGATCAACCATTTTTGGACCAAAATCAGACAGACGATGAATCGGTGTCTGAACAAGATGGGACAGACGGTGGACAGGTGTTGAACCAACCTGATACAGACGATGAGTTAGAGCTGGATGAAGGTCAGATAGATGAACCAGCATTTGATCAGCAGCAAACAGACGATGAACCAGAGCAGGACCAGGCCGAGGAAGAAAATGAACCAGCGCTTGGGCGACATCAGACAGACGATGGATCAATGTCAGACCAACATCAGACAGACAATGGATCAATGTCAGACCAACATCAGACAGACGATGGATCAATGTCAGACCAACATCAGACAGACGATGGATCAATGTCAGACCAACATCAGACAGACGATGGATCAATGTCAGACCAACATCAGACAGACGATGGATCAATGTCAGACCAACATCAGACAGACGATGGATCAATGTCAGACCAACATCAGACAGACGATGAAGAAGCGCTGGACCAAGAGGAGCAAAATAAGGAACCAGCGCTGGACGAAACGGATTCAGAAGATGAACCGGTGCTGGACCAGGCTGAGGAAAGTGATGAACCAGCGCTAAACCGAACTGAGTTTTACGATGAAGTAGCATACGACCGAGTTGAATTAAGCGATGAATCATCGGTTTCCCAAGCTGATGAAGGAGATGAATCAGAAGTGGAACAAGCTTACACAATGGATGAACCAGTGCTGGTGCAGGATGACCTAGAACATGACCCAGCTCTCAACCAAGCAGATTCAGATGATGAAGCATTGCCAGTCCAGACTCGTGCAGGGAATGAACAATGGTTGGGCGAAGCTGAGAGAGATCATGGATTGGTTTCTGACCAGGACGATACAGACGATGAATCAGCACTGGACCAAGATCAGTCAGACGATGAACCAAAGTTCCACCATGATGAAGCAGGCGAGGAACCTCTTTTGGACCGAGCTGATACAGACGATGAACAAGGATTGAGTGAAGCTGAGATAGATGATGAACCAGTGCTGAACCAATATGAGCAAGACCACGAACCAGTGCTCGACCAAGCAAATTCAGAAGATGAACCATTGATGTGTCAAGATCAGACAGGTGAGCCAGTACTTAACCAAGATCAGACAGACGTCGAATCAGTATTAGAGCAGGACCAGCAAGACAGTGAACCAGAGCTCGGACAAGGTGATTCAGAGGATGAACCACTGCGGCACCAAGCTGAGGAAAATGATAAACCAACGCTAAACCATGCTGAGACAGCGGACGAACAAGCGTTGGGCGAGACACATATAGACCATCGGCCAGCATTGAAAGAGGCTGAGGAAAATGAACTAGCATTGGACAACGCTGAGACAGATGAGGACCCAGCGTTGAACGGATATGAGCAAGACGACGAACCAGTGCTCGGCCACCATGAAAAATCAGAAGATGAACCAGTTTTGGACCAATATCAGACAGACTTCGAACCAGCGTCGGGCCAAGATCTGCAAAGCAATGAGCCAGTGCTCGGGCAAGCTGAGACAGACAATGAACAATTGCAGGATCAAACTGAAACAAGCAGTGAACCGGTGCTAGAACATGCTGAGACAGACGATGAACTGCCGTTCGACCAGATGGAAGCCGATAATGAATCGTCGCTCTCTCCATCTGCAAAAGGCGATGAACCAGCGTTGGACGAAGGTGAGGAGGGCGATGAACCAGCGCTGTACCGCGATAAAACAAGCAACACATCAGTGTTTGATAAAGGTGAGACTGACGATGAACCGGTGATGGACGAATGTGAGGCAGAGAACGAACCAGCGTTGAGCCAAGCTGAGACGGATGTTGAGCCAGCATGGGACCAAGTTGAAGCACGCAGTGAACCATCGCTCTACGAAACTGAGGAGGATGGATCAGCATCGGACCAAGCTGAGACATGTGATGAAGCAGCGTTCAACCAAGTGGAAGTGGTTGATGAATCAGCCCTGGACCAAGGCGAAGAAGCTCATGAACCAGCGTTGGACCAAGGCGAAGAAAATGATGAAATAGCGCTGGGCCAAGGCCAGGATGACGATGAGTTAGCGTTGGGCCAAACTAACACAGACGAACCAGCGCTGGCCGAAAATGAGGCAGAAAATGAGGAAATGCTGGACTATGCCGAAACCATGCAATACGATGATAGCTCTGATACAGACGGAAGCAGGTCAATTCATATCAACGTTGACTACAGCAGAGTTCTGCAATCTCGCTTTCTAGAGAACATTGAAGAAGCGTTAGAACCATCTGAAGAAAGCTACACACTTTTGGAGACGGAAGGTGCTAATGAACCGCAACCTGAGTTATCTGGAGGGGACAACGTGTCACTATCAGAATCTGAGCACAGCTGTGAAGAAGATCCAGACAAGATTGAAGTAACCTCTGGAGGCTCCAATCTTGTCAAAGAAAGTTCCAAACTTTCTACGAATGAAGTTTGCGGAGGCTCCCTGACGGCTTCTTTAGATGATCACGAAGTTCAGTCTCTCCCTGGATCGGGCACGGAGCAGGCACCTGTCGGGGCTGACTGTCCAGTCCGGAATCCCGAGCTGGGCCAGAGTCGGTCCCACACACCGCCACCAGCCGAGGACGCCGACCCTGGCCACCGTCCGTCCACCGTCCACAGCTCCAGCTCCGAGTTCTCCGGCTCTGACTCGAGTCTCGGCCGACCCGAATCGGCCGACGCCGCCAGCTGGCAGCCGGCTGAGAGCTGCGGGGCGGAGCGGTCCGACCGCACCGGCGGCGGCGACCGCGCCGACCGGCCGCCGCCGTCCCCGCCCTCCGGCGCGCTGCTGTCGCCGTCCGGCGCCCTCGAGCTCCCCGCTGAGGAGCTCACCTCCTCGGCAGCCGGATTCGAGCAGGAGGTGCTGGCCTGCGTGTCGCGCCTGTTCGCCGACCTGTTCCCCACCCTCTCCGGGGTAGCACCGGTGACAACCGACAGCGACCGCGCCGACGCTGACGCCGACATGGCCTGCTCGTCGTCAGGTGAGCTTCTCTCGGCCCGAGACGCCGCCAGTACGGTGACCGAGGTGCCGAGTTTCACCACGTGCTGCTCCTCCCCCGGGCCGACCACAGACGGAGAGCTGGACCGGCCGGTCGTCTCACCGGGACCCAGCGGATCACCGCGGCGGCTAGCGGATACTGCCGAACGCTGGCAAAACCATGAGGACACCGGAGGTCATACAGAGGAGCATGAGGGCACAGAGGACCTCGGAGAGGAACAGAGAAGTGCTGAGGACCACTGTGAAGACCAGGAGGACATCGGAGGTCATACAGAGGGTCGTGAAGACACCGCGGATCTCAGAGAGGAACAGAGAAGTGCCGAGGACGGATGGGAATGCCAGAACAACAGCGACACCAGGGAGGAACAGCTGGAGAACGCTGGTGACTGCATAGAAGGTCAGGAGGACGAAAGTGATTTCGTAGAAGACCAGCAAGCTGCCGAGGACTGCTTGGAGGACCAAGACGCCGTAGACCGCTGGGATGCTCGGTATACCAGTGATCGCTGGGACGACCAGGACGCCGTGAACCAGCTGTCTGTGCAGAATGTCATGCGTACTGATTGGCCGGACCTTGCAGATCGCGGTACAGAGCCGGGTGGCCACCTCTCGGAGGACGCGCCGCACCCAAAGGGCTGGTCGGACGAGTCCACGTACGACAGTGACTCGGAGTGTGACGTCTCGGCTCGCCTGCGGGATGGCGCGTCTTCATTACCGGACCTTACTCTCGCAGTTTGTGCTGAGGTCACTCGCGGCTCAATAGAGGTGCTGACTGACACGGCCGTCCCGGGAGCGATGGAGGAAAGTCAGCCTCCCGGGCGGCAGACTGGCGGCGATGTGTGTCCCGGTGAGCTGGACACTGGTTTGGATCTGGAGGAGGTGTTGATGGTGCGCTGTGCACTCAGCGGAGGCGGCGCTACCGGTGACAGCAGTGACTGCAGTGACGGCGGCAGTGACGCCAGTGACGGTGAGGCTGAGGGTGACGGCAGCAGCGAGTGTGCGGCGGTGGGCCGGGCAGGATTCCGACCCAGACTCAGTCTACTGGAAGAGCTGCAGGTTCTGGCACAGGATTGTGACGCTGATCAGATTATCACAAAGGAACGCGAGGCCTGTGAGATCGCCGCGGCGGTGCTGGGTGGCAACCATCTCGACGGAAGTGAAGCTGAGACTGATGAGCCGCCACCTCAATCGGCGGACGGTGATGTTGCTGGTGTGGAGCTCACCCAGCCGGTCACGGACCCAGGAAGCGAGCAGGACGATACAGACAGTGATGAGGGCGAGGGAGTCACCATCCCCGTCCACTGCGACTGTAGCGTGGAGGCGGACGAGTCAGCGCAGAGCGCCGCCGCTGACGGCAGTTTCGAGGAAAAACACTACCGAGAGACGTCAGAGAAGGGACCGCGCCACCTGGCGAGTGACCCTGCTGCCTGTAAAGACTCTGAGATGAACGCTGAGCAGCCTGAGACGATTCAGATTCCGGATAATGACTGCTCGTCTTGTACTGACTCTGATGGAAGCGCTGAATGGTCGGAGGAACCACAGGTTCAATCCGTGTTCACGCAGGGCGAATGTGAGGACTCCGACTTCGCTCTCCAATCACCACGCCGTGACTCAGCAGAGGTTTCGGCTTGTCTTCCGGCACGGGAGGCTGCGAGTGATAGCGCTGAGCCAAAGCAGGGGTCTCCCTCCTCGTTAGAAGCCGAGGGAGTGTCAGCGGGTGCGCCGCCGGCCGGCCGTGTCATTGGTCGCCCCGAGGAGCTGAAACTAGAGGGAGATGGACTGGGGCACGGGAGGGAGCTGTATGGAGTCCCTGAGCTAGATGTGGCAGAGCCCGCAGCCCTCCGCCATACCGAGGGAGGGATCGTGATAGATGCCGCATCAGGAGCAGCTGCGAGTGACCCGTGCAAGGAAGTTAGTGCGGATGTGACTCTGGATGTGGCCCATGACGGCGGTGTCGACATCCCTGTGTCGTCGCCAGTGGACTCTGGTATGGACGCAGCCGTGGGCGTTGATGGAATGCCAGTGGTAGGGAGCCAGACCACCAGGCCTTGTAACGGTTCCCGCCGCCGGAGCCGCAGCCAGCAGCCCATCCAGTGCGCTCACTCCTAGCGAGCTACTCCCGCTCCGCTTCAGCACATTTGCAGGGGGCTATCCCGGCTCGACCGCTGCCTTTATTGGTTGTCAGCGACGCAGAAATCAACTCTCTTTTCCTGCGACCTCTCCGGCCAAGCGACATCCTGTATTTGTATAAATGTTGCGTTTTGTTCGTTATTTCACCAAGCGTTCATTGACCGCCACACGATGTGTTCGGTAGTTTGCACCATGTTTGTATGTTTGTGTTATTCGTGTGTCGTTTCTGTATGTTCCCACTAGACTCGTGTGCGACTAGCCCGCTGCTGCACTTGTGTGGCTGACGCCGGTGCCGCCACATTTAAACGCCACCATCAGCTCGGCATGGCGCCCTGCATGACACCCTGTGGCCGTTCAAGCGGCTGAGTCCGGCTCGGCTGCTGGCTGTGGCAGCTGCCGGCTGTAGCAGCTGCCGTCAGTGTGGCAGCTATCGACTGCAGCAGCTCTGTGAGTCAGCGACTGTGAGCAGGCAGCAGTAGCTGACAGCCGTTGGAGACGGGACTTGCACTCGGTATGGAACGTACCAGAGTGGCTCCCGTGTTCTGGCCTTCAGGCACTCAGCTAGAGGTAAAACACTCGCTTCGGAAATTCTTACGATGCATGCGAATATTATTTGCTGCTTTTGCATTTTTACCAGCTAAGTTATTCTTCTAAAATTATCATTAAAATGAACTGTTGATCGAATGCTTGAATGTTTCGTCGTTCCATCTCATGTCACATAGTTACACGTTACTTGTCCATCGAAAACGAGTCATGTCACGTTTATCGCTAGAACTCACCCAGTCTACCTGCCATTTACACCGCCGCGCACCCAGCCCGTGTCATAGCTCCCAGTGTGTGACCGCTGACCGTCTGCCCGTCTGCCGCCGGCAGGAGGGCGGCCGGTGGCAGCTGGAGGCCCGCCGGTTCGCTGCCGGACCGCCCGACCTCATCCCGGCACCCGACTGCTGCGGCTTCCTCATCCGACTGGGCTTCAAGTGGCGCGACTGGACGCGGCTCTACTGCGTGCTCAAAGACGGCGTGCTCTACTTTTACCGATCGGACGGCGACACGGCCGCATTCGGTGGGTCTTTGAGGCAGGAGCGGAGGGGCTTGGCCGCTTGGGCCGGTTGTAGCTTTCCAGCATGCTTAATTGAAAAACGAGTCAGAGCTGTCCGCATCACTACTGTATTAACTTATGAACTGACTGGCGTTTGGTGTATATCGTCCATGATTTGTATCGCTGTACGGCCTGAAAACGGCTGGTTTTCTTAACAACGCTTCCCAGACTGACGATGGTAAAATAAGACTCCGTCGCTGCCCATCAGCGGTGCTTTAGTCTTATGCCAGTTCGGCTCTCGCACCATGATTCACCATCACCTATGATCTAACCCGTGACCCGCTGTCACCACAGGCTCTGTGTACCTGCACGGCTACCGCGTCCAGAGCAGCAGTGTGGGCGGCGGCCGGCGGCCCAGCTTCGAGGTGTGCCCGCCCGTCTCGCGGCTCCGACACTACTACTTCATCGCCGACTCGGACAACGACAGAAAACGGTCAGTACGAAAGGAAACGGTCAGTACGACAGGAAACGGTCAGTACGACAGGAAACGGTCAGTACGACGGAAGGAAACGGTCAGTACGACGGCAGGAGACGGTCAGTATAACAGGAGACGGTCAGTACGGTGCGGCGGCAGGAAACGCTCAGTATCTACAATGGCAGGAAATGGTCAGTACGGCAAAAAACGGCCAGCAAAACGACAGCAACCGGTGAGCTCGACAGAAAGCGATTAATAACGGACAATGGTAGGAAATCAGCGATGTGGCATAGCGTTGATGATTTAATGGGAATTGTATTGACAAAGGAGTATTGACAGAGATCTAGTGCTTGAGCTACGTTTTCTGCCCCCTCGCTGCCGGGTCTACCAGGATCTCACACAGTGTGTTTGTTTGCACAGGTGGCTGGCGGCCCTCGAGTACTCGATCGATCGCTGGATCAAGGTGGTCACCTAGATGGCCGATCGCTCGCCACTGCCAGGTGGGGACCGCCGTCCGCCGGCCGGCCGTCCAGCTCAACCGACCGCCGCGGGGCGGCGCCACCGTCGGCGCCGGCTGTTGTAGGTGGCGCTGCCGTCTGCGGCTGGGTCGGGTCCTCCGGGCAAACCCGGGCCGTAGTTATGTCCGCGTAGCTGAATGATTTTCTATATCAATAAACTGGCACCGGTCGCCGCATCTGCTGTGTATGCAGTTGACTGCAGTGATAATTGCCGACTCTCAGACATTGAAACTAGACCAGATTATTTGATGACAAGTGCGTTTATTGTTCACTGATCGTCTCTGTCCAGACAGTACACAGTAGCTTCATTATGCGGACAGTGGACAGTGGACACTTTCGCCAGCGTGTGAGACTAGAATTGATACTAATTGGCTGAATGGCTGAGCAGTTTTTAGATACAAGGTTTATTTACAGCCCATGGCATAAGCTCTAAGTTATCCCTAACCAGGTCATAAACCAGCTCATCCCTAAAGTAAGTGGTCAGATTCGAACGTACGAACAGGCCACTCCCCAGGGGCTGGTGTCGCTGTCTCCCTCACTGCCTCCGAGCCGGGCCGAGGTCGCCACGGATGTCACATGGCTGCCAGACCTCAGGATAGCTCAGTAAAGCTGCCCTAATGTGGCATATTGTGCCGGCCAGTCTGATTGGTTTCACTAGATTTTCGTCTGTTGTGACACGCGCGGAACAGCCAGCTCCGGGTACTGAGGTGACCCGTTCGAACAGCACCAACCTCCAGCTAGAGTGGTGATCTATGCAGATCACGCGGGGCGGAGAAGAACGGCAGCGGCAGCGGCGAACGGTGCGAACTAACCAGGCAAGGGCGGTAGAGGCTACGGAGAACAGATCGGTGCGCGTCTTCGGAGTACTCTGCGAGTTACATGAGATAATACTGGCCGGTGTGCGGTCACACCATAACTGAGGCACGTCGGTGATGTCTGGAATGTTATTGGACGGCGCATATGGCTGAAGAATGCACAATAACACACTTATCCTACATATACGTAGTACATCAACTGGCGACCATTCCGTGTGGTCGCAGACAATAATAAGGCTATGGCGTGCGAAATCGATCTTTGGCAAGCTCACTATTCGCGTTACGACGTACGACCCAACACAGCAGAGCAACGCAAGTAAGATGTCAAGCCGACTGTCTAGCTCAAAGGTCGTTACAGCTACGCGACTATCAACACAAAATATGACACATGTTTAATTGTGACGTTCCGCAAAGAACAGTTCAACCAACTGTTCGCTTTCACAGCTTGCGTCTGTAGTTCCCGTCTTGGCCAGCAGATGGGTCTGCCGTCGCGCTACCGGAACGACAGGTCGGAGGCCTGCGAGCGTTTCCACCGGCGTGTGATGAGCAGGGCGGCCACTAGGCCGATCAGAATCAGAATGATGACGGCCACCAGCACCCACATCACGACCTGGTACGGACGCGACTCGTACACTGCGGAGAAGTGGGAGAGGGGTCAATTTGTGGCTCATTGCCCTGGGCAGGGGGAGGGGGTCAGCGACTAAACTCATGTATACACTTAGGAGGAGAGATGGTGGTCAATCGAGGGCTGTCATCTGTGCAATGCGAAGAAGTATTGACAAACATAGAAGCCATTGACAAGACGGTGACTGGCGACAAACGGGCTATATAACGCCACGGCAGACTGAAGGCTGTCTCCCAACAGTCTACGAAAAAAAATGAGGCGGTGTTTGTTTTGCTAACGTAAGCGTTGTTATGCAATTAGTACGTTGAGGTCTGGCTTCTTGTTTATTTTGATAGTAGCGATTCGAGAAATCCCGGGAAGGGCGCAAGCAGCCCACGCTACATGCTTGCGGTTGGGACACACGCGAATCGCAGTCTGCTTCTGTAAATGTTTATCAGCTCGGCGAAGTGGCATGTGAACACATCAGCTGGTACTTCTGACTGACGTGTCGGAAAGCCCACGCGACAGCCGTTTTATCTCACAGCGTCTCTGCACGACATACTGCAAGGGTGACATGTATGCCGGGCACGGCATGGCTGGGCATTCGCGCCGTGGAAATATTGTTTTTGAATATGGACACAGATAGAGTCATATGCAATACCATCACGGCACCACACATTCACTCCAGTTTCCATAGCGATAATAGCAGGTCCTCGTTAAGTCGTATCCTCGGCGGTCCTAAGCGCTGCCGACGACCTAAACATGGGCTCCATCAATAATATTGGTAAAGTGTAGTGGAAAAGGGAAGGTGGCATAATAGTCATACCATTTCAAAAGTAATCTGTGCGGTACGGACGCACCATTCACGCATTATACATATGTGTATGTTAGACGTGTTGTATTTTTGCATCTCGTTCCTGCCCCGAGAGACGGCAATGACTTTATTTGGAGAGAGGACAGAGGCTGCCTTATAGACCACCCAGCGCCCTGGCGATAGAAGACTGCTCCGGTATAAGACACCGTTGTGCCCAGGGATGGCGGGTTATCACCCACCGAGCGCCTGGACACTGGTGAACAGCCCTGGATCGATCAATAATTGCCGATGAAAGTCGGGCTAATACCCACTAAGCGGGAGTTGATGGACGGTTTCGGAGCAGAAAATGTCGCTATGTCGCTTCTCATCGCTGGCCAGAGAGACGGAGCTTTTAGTCTGCTGGCAGATATCTATTCAGCTATTTTTTTTCCAGAAAATGTAACAAGGAAACTCGGGATAATTAAGGCCCTCAAAATGGGCCATGGTGGACACTGGACAGCTCCAGGTCCACGGGACGGAGTGAGGGTATTACCCAGTACCCAGTACCCACCGAGCGGCTGGGCGGTGGTGGACAGCTCCGGGTCCCTGTGTATTACCCAATGCCCAGTACCCTGTACCCATTACCCAGTACCCACCGAGCGGCTGGGCGGTGGTGGACAGCTCCGGGTCCACGGTGGAGCCGCCGCCCTCCACGAACGGCAGGAACGTGTTCCAGAAGCCGGCGTCGTCGCGCCGGTAGCCCACCTCGATGACGTCACCCACCAGGTTGTAGAAGGTCGGGTCATCCAGTGAGAAGCGCCGCCACCGCTCGCCGAAGCTGCCCCGCTGCGGGTGGCTGTGGCACCGGACGGCAGGCCGGTGGGTCAGTGGATGTGTTCGAGCGATAATGACTGACGGGACGGAACACCGAATAGAGATCATGGGCTGCATTCAACGTCAGGGCCCAGGAACTAATGAAAACAAGCTTTAAGTGTCCTGAGGAAAAACCCAAAACAGACACAGAAGACCTCTTGCCTTGTCCCGATTATCCCGCGTGGCCATTGAAGAATTGCATGCGTCATATTATATGCGTCTATTGAAGAAAGTTGGATACAAAGCTGACATCCGTTGGCTGTAACGCTACAATAGCACTGCCCTGCCCTCAGCCGAGTGCGACCCGCCCAGCACTAACCCGTCTCGGATGAAGGCCGTCCAGTATCCGCGCAGCTGAATGGCGAGACGCTGCTGTGGTCGGCCGAACGCATTTCCCACCAGAAGACGGAACATGGTCGGCCCGAGAAGGTACAGAAGCTCGGAGCCATGACCGGCGCCTGGGAGAATATCGACGGGGGTCATCTGGGGTCATTTGGGGGTCATCAACGGTCACTGGCGGTCACTGGGGTCACTGGGACTACTGGATCACAGGAAGGTCATCAACGGTCACAGGGGTCCTTGGAGGCTCACAGCGGGTCACTGAGGGGTCACAAATGGTCACTGGGGTTCGTCATGGAGGACCACGGGGGTCACCAGTGTTACAAACGATAATTGGGGTAACTGAAGGTCACTTTACACTTGGGTTACCGAAGGTCATTGGGGTCGCTGAGATTTACAACTGTCACCATGGATCACTGGAGGACCGAAGATGGGCGACTGGCTACTGAGGCTTGTGATGTCTAAAGAGAATCAACTGTAATAATAATAATACATCTACTGACAAGTGACAGCTGATGCAATTTTACAGTTCAATGGTGTGTACTTGTACTGTAACAACTGGGTCAGTTCCAGTTCCCATTTAACGCTAGTCCCAGCAGAGTCTGTCTATTGACGTCAAAGAGGTATTGTGCCACTATTTTCAGGGCAAATAGCTTACATGCTGGTTGGTCGGTGCATTGAGCTGATTGTGTACAGAACAAAGCGACTTTTTACATAACCAGCTAGTCAATAGCAGGACACAAACACGAAGAATGTGAAATGAAACCCTATCTGGACGCTCCCGGCCGGCGATAATTGTACAACGATAAAAAGGACGGTCGCGGCGCTGTGCGTTTCATATTTGCGTCATTTGTTAACGAGGATCATCAAAATAACCTACTGCGAGCGCCACGAGTCTCTCTCTCTCTCTCTCTCTCTCTCTCTCTCTCTCTCTCTCTCTCTCTCTCTCCTCTCTCTCTCTCTCTCTCTCTCTCTCTCTCTCTCTCTCTCTCTCTCTCTCTCTCTCTCCCTCTCTCTCTCTCTCTCTCTCTCTCTCTCTCTCTCTCTCTCTCTCTCTCTCTCTCTCTCTCTCTCTCTCTCTCTCTCGACTTCTCACCCTGGTAGGTGACGACGTTGCCGTAGATATCCGGTCCACGCTCTGTGAAACTGTACGCGTAGGCCTCTCCACCGGCGCGGGCGTAGCCCTCCAAAAAGCCGTACAGAGGAGCGATGAAATACGCGTCGCCGAACATCTGAAAACAAAACCGTTAGCGCCGCTGTATTGTCATATGCCGCTGCATGGGGTCAGGGTAGCGGCTATATACTGTGCTGTTTTGTCCGATGCGCTGGTATTGGAGGACGAGGTAGCGGTGAGGGTACTCAGACCGGCAAACCGACAACGATAGATCTTTGGGCAAACTACGGTGTGAGCAAACCCTTCAAGGCTTCACATTGTACGAAGTCATTTTTCTATAGCAATAACCCAGACGTGGCGGACGGTTTCACTTATGCACAAGTGTAGAGTTGTGCCACTTTTTGCGATGCGATTATTCCACAACAATGGATCAAAATAGGCAATAATAACGGCAGGTCTGTGTAAACAGCAGGAGCCGATCACTCATATGCCATTGATCTTAACAGGAATCTTTCGCTTATTGTCTCCCACAACCAAGCCCCAATAACGTAAAGTGCATTCAGCCGCTTGCAGATTCCCGTTCCGTACTTACACACAGTCTCGGCCCCGACGAGTATATGCTAGCCCGCGCCCTGCTGGGGGGGGGGTGTTTGAACACCCCCCCCCTGTGGTTTTTCGCGAATATCTCAAAAACGGCGGCGCGGAGCGCCGCCGTTTTTGGTACACCTTACCATACATCAATTCTACACATGTTGTGAAAATTTCAGACCAAGGTCATTCAAGGTCAGGTCACCAGGTCACTTGAAGTGACCTCACCTCATAAAAACTTTCAATGTCTGTCATAGCTACACCGAGTGACCGATCGCTTTGAAACTTTCAGCGATTGCTAAGAGCAATAGCATGTACAAAATGTATATCTCAGAATTTTGATATCGATGACCTAAGGTCAGGTCAATTTTGCGACCTCCCCATTATACCTAAGTCAATGGGAGAAAATTGAAATGCGCCTCTTTTGGATGAAAGACATTATAAACACTCCCAAACACCGAATTACAAGTGGTTTAGACACACTGAACTTGAAAATGGTGTCCATGACCCTTGTTTATGCCCTGAGGTCATCTTAGGTCACGAATGGTATCTAACAGTTTTTCGCAAATAACTTTTGATAGAGGCATGCTAGAGCGATGAAAACGCCTTAGATGTGTTCAGCTCGACGATACGGATCGACTGATATGCAACATGACCCTTTCCGGTCAGGTCATGACCTTGACCTGAGGTCAAATTTTCAAGTTGACCTTTCAAGGTCAAGACATAGTTCATTCGATGCGTCTTGACGAGAGGAACACGATGCCGGTAAAAGTAAGCTCGTACAAGGCTTGGGTCAAAAGTTATTGCAGAAAAACTGTTTTCGAAAAAATCGGCTATTTTTGCAGTTTTTGCCCCCTGCAGGCAAAACCGTTGACGTTAGGTCAAATCTGAGAGAATTACTCAGAAAGGGCGTTAATAGGGCTATCGAATGCGCTTTTCCGCGGCGCTGTAGCTCTATTGGTTCCCGAGTTATGCGTTGGCTTCTTGGAAATTTTCGACATTCGACCTGGAAATCGGCGAAATTTTGCCTTCAATGACCTCTGGTGACCTGACCTTTGACCTGACCAAAAAATTGACCGAAGTGATTTCGTCATTATTTTTTACGCTCTTTCGAACGCCGCCTTCCGCGTATCGCTACGTGGCCCAGGAGCCGAGTTACAAGGGGGGGTGTTCAAACACCCCCCCCCCCAGCAGGGCGTGGAAATCCATGACCCCCAGCAGGGCGCGGGCTAGTAAAGTAATCTTGGTTATATGCACGTAATGTGTGCTATGCCCACGCCCTGACCTTGACGAAGCTGGCGAGCAGCAGCTGCTGGCTGCCGGCAGGCACCGAGTCCAGGTACTGGTAGCCGACCACGCGCTCCAGCAGCGGCCGCTGGTAGTGCAGGCCGTGCTGGTCGAGCAGGCGGGGCACCACCACCCGGCGCAGCGCCAGCGACAGGTTCGAAAACGTCAGGCGGTCCGTGCCCGGGTACTGGTCTGTAATAGTGGGCGGCGGCGGGGGCAGGAGTCACAGGCGGGATTGGCAGTGTAGGGGGAGAACGAAGAACGGGCCACAGGTGACGTGAGATAGAGGCGTCATTCCCGCTACCTTCTGAATACCTACAGCGACCACTTTGCAGTACACTTGGCGGACTTCAGAGCATAGCGAATGTATAACCTTATACGAGTATAATCTAATCGGAGCAAATAAGTAATTACGAGTGGCTACTTTGCCAACTCTATAATAAACTGTGGCGGATGTGATCGATCTGTAACAGTTCTGGCCGCTGACGGCGGTCGTTGCGCGCGCTCTTACAGAGCATGATGATGCCGTCGTCGTGGTCGGCGCCGGCCAGCAGCGGCACTTTGGCGTAGTTACTGAGCCGCAGCAGCCTCTCCGGGTCCTCGGGGATGAACCGATCACCGGGAGGCAGGTACGAGTCGGTCACCGGCGCAAACACCGGGAAAAACCGGCTCTGGGACTGTGGAGAGAGACATAGGAGGACAGGTCTCTGGTCAAGCCAGATGTCAGGCCAATTCACTGATCGAAGAGCTATCGAGTATCAACTAACTGATCAATAACTCATCAACAGCTCCCGGTGGCTGAGGAGCCCGTTCGGATTGACCTATCCGAAATATCAGCCATTTATGATCTAAGTGATCCCGGCCCACTCTCCAGTTTCCATTCTCCAGGTCAAGGTCACTATTGACGAAAACACCGCCCGCCGGTGAGTGTTGCCCCTCACCGGGCTGTATGCGGGCGGGTCGGGGTGTGGGGGCCCGGCTCTGACCTCTAACAGCCGCTGGGCGGCCCGCAGCAGTCGCACATAGTCCCGGCTCTGCAGGCAGTGCAGCTGGCGCGCGGCACTCTGCCGGTCCCGACAGCCCATGATGTCGGCCAGCTCCTGGCCGAGCCGCTGCGCCTCGCGGCCGCTCATGTGTGCCCAGGGTGCCAGCGGCGACCCGGACATCATCACCGTCTGCTGGAACAGGCCCTGCGAGAGCGGCGACACCATGTGCAGGCCGACCGAGGCGGCGCCGGCCGAGTGGCCGGCCAGCGTGACGCGGTGCGGCGCGCCGCCGAACGCCGCGATGTTCTCTTGCACCCAGGCGAGCGCCAGCCGCTGGTCCCACAGGCCCAGGTTACCGGGCGTGTCGCGGGTACGGAGAGTCATAAACCCTGCCAGAGGTCACACGGGGTCACACAAAAGTCACCGACGGGTAGTCACGGCTAGATGTTGTCACATATCAGTTCAGGCCACAGATCGTGACAAGCTGATGTTCTTGTAACTGTCAGTGAGAGTGAGAGAAGACTATCGTGATTGGTGTAAAACATCTGCTACAGCTTCATTTTTGTGTGCTAATATGCTCGTGCGGTATGTCGAATCCAGTTTCTTGCGGTAAAGAGCGGTCTCAGCGTTCTGAGCCGCTCTGACCCGTGACAGCTAGTTCTGGATCTCCGACTCACCGAAGACATTGGTGCGATAATTGATGGAGACGGCGATGATGTCCTGAGCAGCCAGATCCTTCATCGGGAACTTGGAGGACCGCTGTCTCCAGAACAACTCACCGTCCAGGAAGATAAACACGGGAAATGTGCGGTAGCTGACCGGTGCCTGCGAGACAAAATCGGCCACATTTGATCAGTGGACTCCCCGGAATGTGCAGCACAGCAGCCATACGAAATCACTCACAGGAAAATCATATGATTACCCTTCAGTCTCCCTCTCCGATCAATTGATCGTTATTCTCAAAGTCACTACTCCCGTCTCCCTATCCGTCATCCGTCCTGATCCGATAACGGTCTCCAGTTTCTACCTCTCACTCTGGCCGTCTGTCTCCGCTAACCCGCCCCCCCCCCTCCGCTGGTCGACTGAGATCCCCGGCTGACCTGCGGTATCCAGACGTTGAGAGTGAGACAGTCCTCGCTGGTGGCCGTCTCGGGCCGACCCTGGTTGTCCAGCTGAGGACAGGCCGGTCCGTACCGGTCGAATAGCTGGGTCCGGTTCCAGCCCGGGTGGCGCTCCGGCGGCTGGTCGAACGGACACCGACTGGTCAGAGGCCGATAGTGGGTTTGTGGATAAATGATACATCTGTTATTATTATTGGATAGCATGTCTGAGGACAAAGCATACGTACATACATGCATACTTTGTATACTATGGACGCCCTGCTAGCTGTACTGAGATGGAACTGAGTGAAATGACCTTTCACATGCTTTGTCATCTCAAGAACAATTATCGTAGTCACGAGCACTGTGGTGAGTGAAGATGTGCAAACAAACGAATCCTTTTAGCCCTATGCAGAGGGTTAAGCTGATGCCATGCTACACATTAGACTGCAGATAGCCGTATACTTACCCTGAACCTCAGGTAGCCGATGGGCGGCAGAGCGTACGGGATACCTCTGTACGAGTATACGGACCGCTGGGCCGACTCAACGTACTCACGGACCTGGACACACAGAACGGGATACGTCACGGATCCTGGACACACAAAACAGGGACGTAGATACCTCAGCTACCAGTTGTCAAATCGGTATTCTTCGCCTGTTTGGCAATGGTTCAAAATAATCTTGATTCGCTGCAAAAATGCTTCACTAAAATAGGTACTTGTTGATGACATTTTTTCCTGTTGCAAAATAAATGACTTTCTTACATTTAGTCAGCTTTCTTTGCTTTGTCCCCATAACATGCGACACAGAATATACCTTCAGGCGCAAATCAGTGATGGTTTGCGGGAGCGGTGCACGAGTTTGGAGTCGTGCGGTACAGCATAACTTCAGGCGCACACTTAAGTGACATCTAGCGACAGTTTTGTAACCTAATACACGTGAAATTCGGTAGGTACAGCAAAACTGTAAGCGCCCTGTCACACAGGACACGCTCTCACAGAGACAGGCGTTCGCATGCCAGCGTTCTTCCTCCCCGGGCCTCCTCCCAATAGACCCCGGGCCTCGGCCGATCCGCTGTCTATTGGGGCGCCGACCCATCCAGCCACGCTGGGCCGGGTGGGGCGGATTGGGATGATTTGCTTGTAATGCCAAATAGCTATTGCTCAATTTAAGCTATCATCACGCCTCACCATTGCACATTTTGCCTTCATCCTATGCTGTCTATGCAACAATAAAATATATCCGTCATTTATGACGTCACCTGCATAGTGCATAGCGCATGGTTACGTTAAAAAGTATGAAAATGCCTTATGGAGAGAGAAAGGGAAAGTCAAAGGAGAGAAAGAGAGAGAAAGAGAGAGAGAGAGAGAGAGAGGGAGAGAGAGGGGGAGTTAGAGTCGAGAAAGAGAGACGAGTGTGCCGTCGTCTGCTCCAGGTCCTGGGCTGTGTCAAGGTCACGGTCAAGGGCACGGTCCAGCCAATGAACGCTCAGTGCGGCTGACCAGACCAGGGCTGGCGGAGCACCTCGCTTCGAAGAGGGCAGGGATGATCGTGATTCCTACTGGAGTGGAGCGTGGACTCGTGTTGAACGAGGTGAAGAAGGAAGTGTGATTCATCTGATTTGAAACGTGCATTATGACGCGAGTTGCAGTGACGTATTTTCAACAACATGCATCAGTGGTGTTAGTGAGCATACAAGCAGAACATTTTTGGTGCTTTATTACACCTGTGAAGGGATGTCAATGTGATGTTAAGTACTGCGCGCCGGAGCGTCGGTCAGTGTTGCGGCAATTCGTGCAGCAACACCAGTAATGGTGTCGTGTGTGTTGTGTCAAGATGCCTCAATGCAGTTTGGACTCGGTGCATTTGACTTTGGCGTGAACTCTTCCGCAACGAGCACCGATCCAACGACTGGCTATGCAAGTTGAAGCCGAGACGGAGAGAAGCCCTTGTGGTCATAGCCAATTACTTTTGACTTATTAACAGAAGAGCCGTCAGCCGACTCTCGGAGTTCAGCCAATGGTGACGTACCCAAGCTTATAACCAAATCGATCTGACATCCAGGTAACACGACACACGTTATGGGGATCAGTCAGCCCCACCATAAACCGAGTGACCCATAACCATTAACCAAGTCAAGGTCACGACCAGTTCGGCGCAGTGGATGTGAGCCGCTATATGCGTTATGTGTGCTTGTAGCATCCAATGTAGTGTGGACAGTCAACTGCGAACTGCGTCGAACTCCAACGCCGTTTGCTTTATTATAGGTATTGTAAATTGTGAGGTTTCAGTTGGGTCTCCGGAGCAGCTCTGTACTCACCCCTCGCAGGCCGCCCTGTCGGATGTTGATGACGGGCGTGTCAAACCCCTGTCCGGAGACGATTGCCCAGGCAGAGACCGCCAGCGCGGCGGCCAGGGACCACCGTCGGCCGCTCATGGGCGTCTCGGTGGCGCGGGGACCATCACTGGGTCACTGGCTCGTCTCCCAGCGCCCTCCCACTGCACGCTGTCGGAGCCGGCGCTCCGGCCGCCCGGTCCTCGCCGACACACCTGTCCCACTGCCGGCTGCCGGTGACGGCCCGGTCCCCTCTGCAGTAATGGGCGCACGGCGTCCCGGCCGGCCGGATGTGCGGGGCGGGGCCGGCCCCACTCCGAACCCACCCCGCCCCGCCCGCCCCGCCGCGGCCCGCAGCACGCCGCTGCATGTAGGTAACATGTCCCGCTGGTGAATAGTGCCCCCCCCCCCCTAACCGACACCACGCGCCAGCAGCAAACGGCGCCGCCCCGCCCCCGGCTTTCACGTGTCCTCACGTGCGAGGGCCACCACAAAGTGCGAGGGACAAATTTCCGAAGGTCAACCGAGCTAACCAAGCGTATTGAGAGCAACCAGCTCGCGTGCTAGTGGTAGCTCTTTTCTGACGCTGGCCAAACCTGCAATCATTTTGGGAAAGGACATCAAATAAACCAAACAGTGGCTCACGACTTCGGCACGCCAGCGGGGCACGCTTGGCCTGCAGGGTCACTGCCGGCCCGTGTCCCGCTGACCCGACACGCGGCGCGTCACGTGCGCGTCACACGGACAGACTGCACGCTACGGCGGTCCGTGTGACGTCCACAGTCACGCGGGAATGGGCCACAGGGAGAGAGGGAGGGAGAGTGAGGAAGAGGGAGAGAGGGGTGATTCTTTTTACACGCCTAACATAAGCATTATTTGCTGAATATTTCGTGTTTATGTTTTGTCCGTTTTCAACGAAAAATTATCCATATAATTACAAGCTTTATCAGGCACCGTATACATCCGTTTGTATTTATTTATGAAAGTGAGCTTAATAAGTAATTATGAGTACGTATATGTGGTAACGAGATCAACCTGATTTTGGAGGCTGGTTGTGACGAGTTATCATTTATCCGTTTACCTAAGCATTTTGCCGCGGTTTCTCTAACTGAAGTCCAATTGCATCCTGACTATACAGCTCTTCACTTGAAAGTTGGCTCATCTTTTTCGGATTTTAAAACGTGAACACACGTTTGTTTCTTCATATAAGCACCTTTTTGTTCCACTCATATTTTGCTGTTTTCGTTGCAGTTGTGCATTGGCTTTGGCTCAGTCCTATCGTTGACATGGGAGCCAGTGATTCGCTGGCTTGAGCACATGTGTTTCGTCATCACTCTGGCTACCGCGCCGTCCGACCCCTATCTGGTGCCAGTGACCTTTCAGCCGACCCTCACCCCCGAGCTTGTCAATAAAGGGCAGGTATATGTCACACAAAAACGCCGCCCACCTGGTCCGCCTCAACAGAGCGGCGAGTCAACGAGGAGGCAGCAGTGTACTGAGCATTCTTGCAGGGACAACTTACCTGCAGTTCTCACCTTATCGGTTTGTAAGACAGGTGAGCGCTTATAGAAAGCCAGCGAATAACGCAAGCTGTTTTGAAATTAGAAAACACTTCGTCAGAACTGTGTTCTCAGTGGAAAGACCCTGTCAAGTTCGATTGGGAGGCCACATGAAAATTATTTTCCATGTTATTGTTATGGGTTATGGGTCGTTTGTTATTGGGTTTTACGGAAAATAGTGTCCAGAAAATTTGCTAGTTTCCAACAATAAGTCGGCCAGTGTAGTCAGACGGAAAAGAAGGATGGCTGCATCAAGCTCGCTCCGCGCTCCGGATGGCCGTGTTCACATTATGACGTCATATCCGTCTGTTCTTTCAGCCATGCTGCGCTGTCTGTGGGTGTTGGTCCTTCTAGCGGCACTGTCGGTGACCTGCGCCAGACCAGGACCGTGGAGCCCTCAGACCAGTCGTACCTACGACCTATTTCAGCTCGCAGCCAAATATGAACGCGCAAAGAGATTGCAGCAAATACTTCGTCAGGTCAACAGGCCACGCTGGGGGACAAAAACAGTCCCTAAGGATGCCAGGACTATTTTGAGAGAAAAACTGGCCGCAGAATGGAGGAATCGACTTCTGCAGAGTTTGGCGGGATGATTGGGAATTGGGAGACCAGCACCCAGCATGCAGGGTATTACACAACGACGTACTAAGAGGAGCCGGAATAACATTAATGAATTTCAATTTGGGACAGCAGCCGCCTGACACGGATAATTATAGTGAAAACCGACAGTGTGTCTAAAAATCCTTTTGTTGTTGGCTTGGTTTGTAATGCTCGTCAATACATATTTTGCACGGTGGAGAGTAGATGCTTATTGCTTGTTCCATCATGACACAATGTCTAGATTTCTAATTTATCCGTTTTGATCCCTCTACCGTATTGGCGTTTTACGGTGGCTATAGGGCAGAATGAATTAGGCCCCAGCCTTCAAGTGGTTGGTTGAAAGTTAGTAGGTGTTAAATACCAACGACCAATTTTTAAAACGTTTAATACCATGGCTAAGAAAAGTAGCAGGTACCAAAATGCGTAATAAACGGTAATTTCGTAATGGGTTTCAAAATGACACTACAAGGCACCTTGAAATGCTCAAAAAGTCTACCAGTTCACAAGCTTAAACCCTTGCCGGCCGAGGAGAGGGGAGGGCCCCCATTGTTTTTTTTTTCGCGATAGCTCCGAACACGCTGGCGATGGAAAGCTGAAACTTATTAATATACTTGATCTTTGATTCAAGCCAGGTCTTTGGAAACCAACTGCATTTTCGAGTCAGGTCAGGTCACTGACCTATGACGTCATAAGTGAACCTCTGCACGGTCTTCAGATGTCGTAGCTCACGCAACGCCCTCAGTGCCAGAGGAGCTTTCACAGAGAGATGAAAATTACGGGACCTAATATCCATTAGAGGTCTCACAGCTTGTATATCTTGGATTTTTCCTAAAGATCACATGAGGCCAGGTCTGTTTCGTGACCTCACCATTAGGGACACGTCAATGGAGAAAATAAAAACTGCTATTTTGCTTTAAAAATATGCTACCTAATTGGGCGCCGGGAGCGATTTCAAACTATATCAACCACACGGAATCGTTATTTCATGCACTCCTTGTAAGTGTTGATGCTTCAATTTTGCATTGTTGACCTTGCCTGACGTCATTTATGACGTCACTAGGGTCATAAGAGTTTTTCGTCAAAAACTCCTGATCAAATTGAGCTAGCGAGTCGGGGAAGTCCCCAATGGACTCGGTAAGACCTGCCGAATCGAATGATATGCGACATGACCTCCTTCGACCAAGTTCGTGACCTGGGGGGCTCTGACCTGACGGTGACCCGAGGTAAACACCTCAAGTTGACCTCACCCAAACAAAAATATATCATTCGACGTGCCTAAGCAAGGCAAGCACGATGCTGTCAAAATCGTGGCTCTGCGGCCATTTTTTTGCAAAGTTATTTGCCAAAACCGAATCCGTACCTTGGGCCACTTAACCTGATCTCAGAGGTCACCGGTTGACCTGAGACCTAAAAATCAGGTGCCAATCGCTGCGTCTCGTAAGTCGTAACGGCGCATACGTTCGTTACTTCTGCGACGCTCTAGCTCCATCAGGGGCGAAATGGCGAGGGGTCGTACCCGCCCCTCCCCTCGGCCGGCGCGTATGTAGAAAACCAATAGCTCCGGCGAGTTTTCCCAACAGGTTCGCCAGCATATTATAGTATACCTACGTGCTATCGACCAACTATACATCTACAAATTGCTACTTATGATGTACTGTATGACTGTACTCATGTACTATTGTACTGTAAAATTAGGCAATTAACTCGTATGGATATAAAGCTTTTTCACCTTACTATCATTTAATTTTTGCGGGAGACCAGCTAAAAAGTGTGAAACACGGGTTTTACGTTTTACCTAAATGTGCATCACAATGAGGTGACAAAATCAAGATTGCAGAATTTTATTTTGCGTCGTGCTCATCATGAAATTCAATCGTTTTATCTTCATTTATGACCGTGGCAGCGATTCCCGTAAAAGCTTATCTTGCGTATCTCTCTGTTAAATGTAACTAAAGCGTCATTAAAAAAATATATTCGGTCAACCATGCAACGGACACTGGCTTCTACTTACATCCATATCACAAGTAACACAAGCTGATATAGCAAGTGTACGTAAACCCTAAATCTTATGTAAGTCCAGTAACAGCACAGCCGACGGTTGGAACGCCGCGAGACGAACGCCCATGCTATGGGCTGACATTGCAAGTTGAAGGTGATAATAGCAGTACCAATAAGAGGGAAAATAGCATCACATCAGCTAAGATTTATTTCATATCCTGCGTTGGCACTTGGCAGGGAGAGGCTGGTGGCTCAAGACCGGCTCTCCTATTTCGCCCCCTCAGCCCATCATGCGCAGCTGGTTGTTCCTCCAGGTGGCCACGGCGTCCCGGAATTGTGACAGGGTGTCCTGGGTGGGCGTTGGCGTCCTCCAGCCCCAGCGCGGCGTGGTCGTGCGCCGGTACCTGCTCTGCCACCGTCTGGCGTTATGAAAGTCCTGGGCGATCCGCAGTGACTCCCCAATGCCGCTGGGCCGAGAGTACCAGGATGGGCTGGCGCAGGTCACCGACAGCGCCGCTAGCAGGACCACCACCCACAGACAGCGCAGCATGGCTGAAAGAACAGACGGGTATGACGTCATAATGTGAACACAGCCACCCACAGACAGCGCAGCATGGCTGAAAGAACAGACGGATATGACGTCATAATGTGAACACGGCCACCCACAGACAGCGCAGCATGGCTAAAAGAACAGACGAGTTTGCCAATAACATACCAAACGCACTTAAGCGCATTGTGGCTGAGGAATGCGTAACTATGTAGGTCGCAAGGTCTATAAAATTGACATAAACGTTTTGTGCCAGGCTACATATGGATGTTTTCTTACGCAATTAAAACATCATGCACACTACATACATTACTTATAGTTATTTTTAAAGGATAATTTTGTTTGCATTTATACGGGTATGGAGGGCTATTTTCCCTCTTCGGCTCCCCGCCCATTGCTATCAATGCGATACTTGCACGCTGTGTTTGTATGTCAGCAGTTCATCAGTCAGCATACCCGAAAGGTCACCAGAAAAGTGCCCAGTTACGTGAACTTTCGGTCACCAGAACAGTCACAACGCTCAGCCAGAGCGAATAGCCTATAACCTCACCTTTATCGAAGTGGCCACGAGATTCAGTCACAAGCGACTATCCCTGTGGGAAGATCGTAAGAACTCTGTCCGCTCCGCAGCAAGTGGCGTGCAATATATGTATACGTTCCGGGTGCTCACTGCTCGGCTGGTATAGCTGTGACGTGTTTGTCTCATGCAGCAAGGCTGGGGAAGGGTGGGGTGGGGAGAAGGGACAGTCAGGGGGTGGCGGGCGTGTCAGCGGTGTGGCGCAGCACCGCTGTGCAACGACATGGGAGCCACTGTAAACGGGGCAGGACTGCGACGCCGGCCGGGTTTTCCGCGGTGATGTCCACCTAGCAGACACGTAGAAGCTTACAAAACGTGCCAATGGATATGCCCACTGGCACAGCAGCAGAATTGGTCGGTACTCGGTAGGTTATCTGATGCTGTTGCATATGATGCCTGCTTAACTAACACTTCGAGTAGTGATCGTTTACCTGGGTTACTTCGAGCGTTTACCTGTCGAGAAGTGATCAGCTAACAGCAATCCATCGATAGGTGTTTGTATCTCGATTCGGACATACGGTTGGCAGAAGTGACTGGAAAATGGCCAATTATTTTATTCACCGGCACAGGCCATTTTGCGTCCTTCAACGGCACAAGAGGGGTGGGGGTGGGGTACGAGGCCCCCTCGCGTTTGGCCCCTTATTGAGCTAGAGCTTGGCAAAAAAAAAAAAACGAGCGTTCTGCGCGTGACGAGAGAAAGCCGATGATACCCAATTTCAAGGTCGTAGGTCATCGGTTGACCTTCCAGGTCAGGTCAATGACCCAGAAGTCGGGGAAATCGGGACCTGTTAGAACGTCGTAAAGTGTTGCTTCGATTGGGGGTTTCGGGGTGCTGATCACGAATATCATGTTAGTTTTAATCACAGATGATGTCTTTATGCATTTAGGCCGGGTCGGGTCAGGTCAGCTCAGGTCAACCAGTAGGGGTCCTGCCAGGTATTCGTAGTACGTGTCAACCGCCTCTGACAGCCTCGTGACGTGACATGTTTCGAAGGCACCAAAACTACTTCGTAAATGTTCTACTGGCTGCTAAATTCAAATTCAGCTCCAAAAACTATAATATAGTCTAGGAACATGTGAAACTCGAAAAAGAGGACCGAGGTCATCAAAGGTCAATGACGTGACCTGACCTCCAGGTGACCTTGACATCCACCCTAATACAATGGGAGCAACATCAAATCACATGTTTGAACGCTTGAAACCACGAAAAGATTGCAAACGTGCGGCTAATGCGAGCCGACATACGCCGAATCGCGATTCTGGCCAAACATGGTCTCAAAAAGTAGGTCACAGATCAAAGTTCATTTGGGTCGGGGTCATGAAATTTTTAGAGTAGGTGTAAAATTGATCAGCGCGAGGGTACTGAAAGTTTCGTCCCGATTGGCCGCTTTTAAAGGTAGTTAGTGTGCCAGCTTTTCTGGACCGTATGGAGTTAATGGCCCAGATAAGAAGAACCGGATTTTTAGAACTTATCCATACCTTCAAAACTCATGGAAACGTCTTAACCTTCGCCCCAGTGCACCGTGGGGACTTATGCCATCCTAGCACGCATTAAGTGGCAAGTTAAAGTATTTCGATTTCCACTTTTTTGTTATTCATTCCACGTAGAATTGTCCAGCGCATCCGAATCACACCTTAAATCGTCTGTAAAATGATTGTTTATGCCTCAAAAAACCTCTCAAAGTGTAGCTTCGTCCTGACCAGCGTCGTGCTACCTGCATACAGCAAAAAAACACACTACAATAAAACGCCCTCTCACTCGTTTCCCTGAACAGCAGGTTATAGTTTCGACATGTTTTCATTATCTTTGACTTATAAGGAAGATGATGGTATGCACGAAAATTTCCAAAATTCATCCAAATGTATAATTTTTGACCGAAATGTTAAAAATGTTAAAATGCTTCTTGATTGAATGATTCAGAGAGTTGACAAGCAAACTATTGCCTTACAAAGTTTGATACGCGGTGGTACGCGTGGAAATGTATATCAAAATGTTCTCCAATAATTTCTGCATCAGGGGCAGCTCTCATTTTTTTGCCGAAATTTGCCTAAACCAGTCACTATGAGACGTCAAAGCAGACGGTGCCGCGTGGTTTCTTACGCCCCGCCGGGCCGCGCCGCGGCGGGTTACCCGACCGCAGCACAACGCCTGGGGGTTTCCGGTCAGTATAGGAGTTGGGAGGAGGGAGGAAGGGGGTGATACCATGTTGACATTATTTTTCTATCGCCAAATGTTCTTTTTGAACAAAACAACAACATCCTTGCAACGTTGCGTCCATTTTATTGGCTATCGCCGCCAATGTTCACCTTATTGAACTTCAGTACAGAGCTTTGATATACATAGGTAAATCGAAAAATGCTGTAACTTTGTAAAGTGAGGTTGGAGGTTTTTGGGGTGCTAATCACGAATTTCAAGCTAGTTTTGATCAAGGATGATGTTTCCATGCTAGGCCGGGTCAGGTCAGGCCCGACCAGTAGGTGTCTTGCCGGCTATCCGTAGAAGGTAGGCGTCGATTACCTTTGACGGCTTCGTAGCATGTTCCGTTAGGCACCAAAACTACTTAAATCTTCAAATGGGCGTTAAGTTCGAAATAAGCGCCAAGCACTTATCTAAAAAATCGTATAACTTGAAAAAGTCAACTAAGGTCATCTAAGGTAAATGACCTTGATTTGACCTTAACGTGACCTTAAAATGCAAAGAACAAACAGCATTTCATACCTTGGAGAGTTAACAACCACAACAAGACTGAAAACGCGCCGATAATGTGCGCTGATAAGCGCCAAATCGATACCAGCCTGACATGGTCTGGTGAAACAGGTCACAGGTCAAATTTTTATTAAGGTCAAGGTCATGAAATTTTAAGTGTGTGAGTAACATTGATCGAATCGAAGGTATAGAAAGTTTCGTCGTGATCCGCCACGTTTTGCTTGAGTTAGTTGCGAAAAGTCGAGGACAGAAGTCTGTGCGACCCCCTCCCCCTTTAAGTGCAAGGACTAACAAAGTGCAAAGGTTAACCCGGCAGGCGGTGGGCCTACCAGCCACCTTCCGCGCGGTGGGGGGGGGGGGGGGCACTTTTTTGCCCCCCCCCCGTATCTCCGAAACTACTGGACGGATCCGGAAAATTCAAACGGCGTTCGATAGCCCTGTCAAATTTGTCGAAGGAAACCAAATTTTATTGACCTCGGGGTCACCGATGACGTCACAGGTCAGGTCAAAGATAAAATGTTTCACCTGGAAGCCCCTTCCAGGGAAAGCGCTATAACACCGAGTAAAACGCATTTTGTCGAAAATCAGCGATAAGGCGTTAGTTGTCTAGTACATATGTTGCTATTAGAGGTCACTGGTCATACCAGGTCAGGTCACAGGTCAGGTCACCAAAGGTCACCAAGGTCACCACATGAGCCCAACTTTACTAAGGTTATGCGATGCATGTTTTATGGCCAGTTTTTCATTTCCAACTCAATGGTGTTGGTTATAAGACCATCAGGTACGGTTAAGGTCACTTTCTGGTGGAGGTCAGGTCAAGGTCAGGTCAAAAAAGGTCAAATTTTAAAGTTGATAGTTTTGCATAAAATGGGTATCGATTCGATGCAGCTCGTCACGGGGAGTCTAATGGTGGTCTTTGTTTTGCGCTACGAGGTCTGAAATTGCTAAAAATTGAGTTTGAAAATTTGACGTCATCAATTTTGAACAGTTTTTTCGCTATAACTTGGCCAAAAAAAAGAGGTATCGATCTCAAATTTGGTATGTAGATAGAAGGCGGTAGGGGCTATCACATATATTCCGGTTTTTTTCGAAATTCAAAAAACTTTTTGGATTTTTGGCTATTATATTCAAAAAATCTATTTTTTGATTTTTGGGGGTCAAAATTCAAAAAAATCGAAAAACCGAAATAGCAGTTTTGTAACCCTTTTAATTCCACACCTTTTATGTCTGAAACATTTTTCTGTATCTCTAAAGCTGTAGGCCTGACAGCTCTTCCCGCGAAACCTTTTTTGGGTCGAAAAGGGCAAAAATGACGTCACTCTGACGTCATTAGCGGCCAACCTATCATAGCCTTTGGAAAAATTTTTGGTCACCATGTACGCTAGCTGCTCCCGGGAGGGTACTGAAAGTTTGGTGACGATCGGCGCAGCGGTTCTCGAGATATATCGAAAAAACTAAAGGGGGGGCAAAAAATGCCCCCCCCCCCCACCGCCTGGAAGGTTAAGCCCGAAATGCCTTTTGGTGATTGGGCTGGACATGAACAAATATCTAATTCTAAAACGATTGTAGTTTCGTTCTACTTTTTTAACGCTTCCACGCCCACCATGCATTGCTAGCCGAAAACGCTTCAGTGCTAAGTCCGTGGGGAGGGGGCGGGGGAGGGATGGGGTCAAGCAGGAGAGCCAACCATGTTGTCAGGGATCATACACCCTAAGCCTAACCATTTGAAGGTGAAATAAAATTAGTTAAGGTAGCGGAGGATGCGATATAAATAAATTCGTGCTAGGATCGATAAAAACCCCCCACTGCAGTGGGGGGGGGGGCATATGTTACCACCCTGTCGCGTTTTTTTCGTATAAATAAAAAACCGCGGCGCGTAGCGCCGCGCCGCTTGGGGTAGCTTTTGGTACATCAATTTTGGACAATGTGTGAAATTTTTGACCCCAGGTCATGTCAGGTCAGGTCATTAGGTCAAGTTAACTGACCAAGCCTTAAAAAAAGTTTGCAATCATGTCCAGCCTGCAGTGTTTGTCAGAGAGGTTTCAAACTTGGTGGATTACATGATGTTATGGGTGCCTACAATTTGGTTATCTCGGATTTTTTATATGCGTGACCTAAGGTCAGGTCAGTGGCGTGACCTTTCCATTATAAGTCAATGGAGAAAAACGAAAATGCCTCTAGATCCGTGTGTACGCATAGGAACAGTCCAAATATTTCAGGATAACAATGATTTGGACCACCCGTGACGACCAAGGTGTCGTTTTTGCTGATTGCCTCTTGAAAGGTCATCCGAGGTCATTTGAGGCTACAAACAGTTTTTTGCCAATAACTCTCGATTGGAAAGAGATAGAACGCTGGGGTTGGCCTCATTGTGTTTGTCTTGCCGAGACGCATCGACTGATATGCAACATGACCTTTTCCGGTCAGGTCATGACCTTGACCTGAGGTCAAATTTTGAAGTTGACCTTTCAAGGTCAAAATATAGTTCATTCGACGCGTCTCGGCGAGAGGAACATGATTCTGGCATGAGAAATGACCTAGCTTTTTTTAGTCAAAAGTTATTGTCGAAAAGCACTTTTCTTAAAAACAGCTATTTTTGGAGTTTTTGCCCTCTGGAGGCTAAACCGTTGACCTGAGGTCATTTTTGATGATGACCTTATCAAAAGAAGAGTTCAAAAGCTATCGATTACTTTTCCCAGCGTTTTTCTAGCTATCATAGTTCCTGAGATAATAGCATGTTTTCTGAAAAAATATAATGACAATTCGCAAATTTTGACCTTTGATGACCTCTGGTGACCCCAATATTGCTCTAAGATGAAAAGTGACCGAAATACTTTCAAACGTACGCATCAAGAGCTATCGACTGCTTTTTACCGCGTCTTTCTCGCCCTCTTAGTTTTTGAGTTAGAGGTGGGTGGTAACATATGCCCCCCCCCCCCACTAGGGCGAAGTTGGCGGAGACCGTCACTGGGGCGCGGGTTAAATTCTTCAAATTTTGAGTACCCCAGTGCGAAATTCGCCCCGGCGGGTTGTCGGTCGTACCCCAACCACATTTCACACCACTCTGAACAATAAATGCACACACTGAAATCGCTATTACCGATATGCTCATCCAATCAAGTTTCGATAAACCCGTTCATCGTCATCTCCTGCGGTTTCGAACACGCCTGTTAGGTGGTGCGGTAGACCGCGCCCAAAGCCAAGGCCCCGGTAACGTGAGGTAGCCGAGTCGGGGCAGCGTGCGCAGACCCAAGCCGGGGCCGCGCGTCCTCCCGGTGTCATGTGATAGCCCGGGGCTGCCCGCGGGGATGCGGTAGATCGCGCCCAAAGCTGCGGCCCCGGCTTGGGTCAGCGCACGCTGCCCCGACTCGGCTACCTCACGTTACCGGGGCCCTGGCTTTGGGCGCGGCTTCTGCTCATACTTTGTGGTGCGGTGGTGGTGCGTCGGGCCGCGCGCTCTGACTTCGGCCAAGAAAAATGCGTCAGCTGATCATTGTCATTTCTGCCACTTGCGTGTGGTGAAATGGGGTCATAACTTAAGAGACGGCTTTTTCCTATCAATTATTTTACATAAAATCATATTTCAAACCATAAATAATGTTCGACAGCCAAATAAAAGAAACAATACCAATACAGGCTTACATTTTAAGGCTCGACATTGTGTTGTCTACGATTAGACAGCTGATAACTCATTCCCGTACGTCGTAACTCTATAATGACCTTTGCTTATTGTCACATGTGCGCCGCATTCGCGATTGTTGCCGACGCCTGTTTGCAGGTCAGCCCACTACAGTTGTTATACATATCGAAAAACCGATAAACTGTTAGGCGAAAAAGGCACTACTTCAGGCCCATTTTTGATTTTTTTTGCGATATTAGGTAAAAACAGAAGCTTCTTATCCTAGGAAAAATAAAATGGGAAATCTTTCAAAGGTGGCACACTACCTTTAAAGCGAGTTATTGGCGAAACCTCTTATGGGGGGTTGCGTTAACCCCCGTGGCAGTAATACTCCAAGTAAACAAGAATTTCACTCATTGCTTAAAATGGAAGCCGAAAAAGAGTATAAAAGTGCTGTAAAACGGCACTCTTTTCAGAGGTTTGAGTCGAAGTGGGGCACTGTCGCGAACATTGTTTCAGGGGCAGGGCCCTAAAACTAACGGCATATTCTTTCCGGAACCTTCTCCCATCCTACCCACAAGTCAACGTGCATGCGAGACATCCCGGTCGTCGTGGGCCTCCGGCTGGGGCCCGGCGGCTGGCGCGGCGTTGCGACTGTCACCCGGTAGCTTCTCGGTCCTGCCCGCTCGTCGTGGGGGTGCCCGGTGGTGCTGCCGCCCGCTCCGCCGGCAGTGCCTTCGCTCCTTTTTTCTTCTTTATCTTTTCTCCCATTTCCCCCGTATGCATTCCTTTATATAATTAATTTACTTTTGTGTGCGTGCTTAGTGCTTTATTAATTTACTTTTGTATGCGCTTGATGTTATTGTGTCTGCATTGTTCATGTATTTGTAAGATCAGTATCTTTGCATTGTCGCGACCGTGATGCACCCACGATCTGGTGCACGTTGCTGTGTGTTTGGGACGAGGACGAGCGGCGTGCTCACCCTAGCCTTGGAGACTGCTCTCTGGCTCTGCGGCGGATGAGCTTCTGTGGGCCGCCGCTAGGGTCCGCTGCCAGTGGCGCTCCCTGCCTCAATCATATGCGCGAGTGAATCCTCTTGGTCTGTACCGCTAGAGATTCTGATCGGGGTGAAATACACAGTGATTTTTCTAAAAAAAAACCGTGGCAGCGAAGGTTAACAATGAATGGTAGGTATCTTACTGCAAATATTTCTTCAGCCAAGCCCTAACCCAGCAACGAGGAACGACGTTTCCTTCATATCTTGCTTTGGTCATAAAGTAATAGACTGGAATCAGTGTTACATGGCTCCTTTAACCCGCGCCCTGCCGGGGGGGGGGGGAGGTGAACACCCCCCCCCTGTGGTTTTAAGCAAAGACTTCAAAAACGGCGTCGCGGAGCGCCACCGTTGTTGGCACACCTTATCATACATCAATGCTACACATGTTGTCAAAATTTCAGACCAAGGTCATTCAAGGTCAGGTAGCCAGGTCACTTGAAGTGACCTCACCTTATAAAAGGTTTCGATGTCTGTCATACCTACACCGAGTGACCGATCGCTTTGAAACTTTCAGCGATGGCTGAGAGCAAAAGTATGTACAAAATTTTAATCTCATAATATCAATGACCTAAGGTCAGGTCATTTTTGCGACCTCCATATTACGTATAAGTCAATGGGAGAAAATTGAAAGGCGCCTCTTTTGGACGAAAGCCATTATAAACACTCCCAAACACTGAATTACAAATAACTAAGTTACACTAAACATGAAAATGGTATCTGTGAGTTGTGACCACTGTTTATGCCCCTGATGTCATCTCAGGTCACGAATGGTATCTAACAGTTTTCTCGCGAATAACTTTTGATAGCGGCATGCTAGAGTGATGAAAACGCTTTGGATGTGTTCAGCTCGACGATACGGATCGACTGATATGCAGCATGACCCTTTCCGGTCAGGTCATGACCTTGACATGAGGTCAAGTTTTCAAGTTGACCTTTCAAGGTCAAATTATAGTTCATTCGATACGTCTTGAGAGAGGAACACGTTGCCGGTAAAAGTAAGCTCGTGCAAGGCTTGAGCCAAAAGTCATTGTAGAAAAGCTTTCAAAAAAATCGGCATTTTGGCAGTTTTTACCCCTGCACTCTGCAGGCAAAACCGTTGACGCTGGGTCGAATCGGAGAAGATTACTCAGAAAGTGCGTTAATAGGGTTTTCGAATGCGCTTTTCCGCGGCGCTGTAGCTCTACTGGTTCCCGATGGCCGAGTTATGCGTTGGCTTCTTGGAAATTGTCGACATTTGACCTGAAAATCGGCGAAATTTTGCCTTTAATGACTTCTGGTGACCAACCTTTGACCTGACCTAAAAAGTGACTGACGTGATTTCGTCATTATTTTTGGCGCTCTTTCGAACGCTGCTTTCCGCGTATCGTTGCGTGGCCTAGGGAACAAGTTAGAAGGGGGTGTTCAAACACCTGGACGTGGAAATCCAGGACACCCAGCGGGGCGCGGGAAGACAGTTGATATGGTGGAATGCCAGCCATGACACGACAAGCACTACTTACGACGGTTAAGAAAAACACATTGAGCAATATGTTATGGTTTCCATCTATATGTATTTCTCGAAGGTCGGTCATCGGTCCGTGAACAGTTTCTTGTGAACGAAAATTACTCGCCTCCACCATGGCTGCTACTCCAGGGCATGAGCAGAAAACAGTGCTTCAGCCACACATCACGTATTTCAAAGTGACTGCATAGAACAACAATGCACGATTGTATAAGTTTATTGTTATCATTTTCCCTCCATCAGAGCGATAACAGGTAACAATAGGATGCAGCACACATCACCGCCACAACTAGAACTCTGTGCTGCGTGGGTCGTCAATCCCGTCGATTTCGTACAAGAGCGCACCGGGTGGAGACGCAAATACCTCTCCAGCCCTGTCCCCTCCCGTCCCTGAGCCCTAATGTCTGCACGTCCCTGACTGGCGACTGGTGGCCGCTCAGAACTTGAGCTTGAAGCCGAGACCGACGCCGTGGTTGCGCCTGCCGTCGGTACTGATGCCCAGGCCCAGGCCGGCGCGGCCGTTGCGGGACTGCCAGACGCGCACTCCTCCCGCCTTGGGACTCCAGCTGCCGCCCAGGCCGTACCGGCTACCGGCCGCCTGTGTGGCCGCGTTGGCCGCCGCCCGGCCATAGTTGGGACGAGACGACTGGAAGCGGCTGTGGCTCCTCCACTGCGGACTGGCCCAGGTGACGGCCACGGCCGCCAGAAGAACCAGCACCAGAACGCCGCGACGGGACATGGCTGCGGAGAGGGGCGGTGCCGTCAGTGATTAGCACGTGGTGACGAGAGGGAGGGAGGTCGTAGTGCTCTCACTCTGTTATGGGAGGGACACACGGCTGGCATCAGTAGATGACTTGCCAGATAAAGCCATGTGCTGAAAAAAATGTTAGAAACAGATTGTGCTTTGTGGCTGATCGATCATTGTTACATGAAACGCTATTGTCTTTTTAAAATCGAAACGGGATATTTGATTTGATAACCGATTCGTACATAGAAATAACTCAACGTAACAGTTTTAAAAGAAGTATTCAGAAAACGCGATGGCGCGATGAATCGAACTCACTTCTGACTGTGACGGGTATTTGGAGAAGGTGTTACAGTGGGCAGCTGAACGCTGTGCTGTGACCGACAGGACGCTGTGAGTGATATGTGACCTCTGACAGGCCTGCGGCGGCATATATAGGTGCCCGAGTCACCTCACTGGCCGGGATGTGGCGGGAAACGGAGGGGAGGGGAGGGTTTTCCACCGCGTGGACCGTCCCAGCTGGAGCGAGTGACCCTCCGCCCCTCCATCCCCTCCCTCTCCCGCAAGAGAACCCTACGCTGGCAGTTCCGGCGCTACAGACGCTGGGTAGCGCATAAACTCTCCGTCAGCTTTTAGATAGCGTTGAATAAACACAGCTACACAGCCTGTTGGGACGACGAGTACTTTCCGAAGTGGACTTCACTTCCGACGTGGAGTCCACTTCTCACCTCTAAGTCATTCTTGCACAATGGCTTATACGGTGAGATATGCGCAGTGCAATGTTTTTTCTTCGATCGACGTTTTCAGACGAATGGAATGGCAAAGCGCAGTTCCCTTGCTAAGCAGAGTTTAACTACAAGCGCATGCATAACCTGATGGTCGGTCCGTCTCCTCGACAACATTTGGCCGCAACTGTTCCCACCATTTCGTAGAGCATCTCCGTGCAGTCAAAAGTTAACATCCTGTGTTTAACGGTTTAACAGAGGCCAGTCCTGATTTGAATTTCGCCGTTTTTTTTTTTTCCACATGTTTTTTCAGGGGCGCGGGAACTACTTTCCGACTGTGGGGGCACCGCCCCCACGGCCCCAGAGTTGGGGGGCAGGCTGCCCCCACTGCCCCCCGGCTCCCGCGCCTATGTGTTTTTTTTATTTCTTGCAAAGATAGAAATAAAGCTTGGAACGGAATGCATTTGACTAGAATATGAGATAGTTATGCACGCATAACAGGAAGGCTAGGTAACATGTATTCCAACGCTGAGACACTGAACGGCAGGTCACAAATGATTTCATATCCTGCACGACTAAAGCCGCCTATCATATCATAATCCATGGTATATGATGCAGACACGCAGGTCGGTGCTGTGTTCGCCATTTGCTGTGAATTCCGTCGTGCTGTCGGCTGGGCCGGGGGGTTTGGTTTCACTGACTGTTTGGAAAGGCCGGACGTCTGCTCCCCTCCCCTCCCTCCTTCGGGGGGATCCCTGACGGCTGGAAAGCCCTGCACGGGATGTATGGCGGCGCACGTACCGGCCTGGCCGCGAACACGAGCTACCGTAAACATGTGAGTCAGCAGCTGGTAAAGACGTGGTCTATGGTTCTTTGGTAGGCACTCTTAGAAACAACAAATGACGTTGAGGATAAGTCAAACGAAACACCATCATTTTCACAATTTGGGCTCTGGCGGCCTCTAAATGAGTCATAACGAGCGCCCTTATTAGTACCCTTTCATGAGTCATTAAAGGTAGCCAGCGTGCAGTGACTATGTAATTTCTTATCGGTCAAAAAGAGTTGTGATTTAGACCACGGAAAATGGAGATAGGCCATTCGATGTATGTTTTATGGCTCAATTTGGTCATGCAATTTTGGACGGAAGGTCTAGGTATGACCTGCGCCGTCTTGCCTCCACACTGGAACTGCAAGTGAAGGCCAGATCACGGTCAGGTAAAAAAGTAAAATTTCCATGTCGCAACTCGCAAACTTACCATCGTCAAGTTACCATCGCAAACTTACCATCGTCAAATTTCATCTGTCGACACCAAAAGTGTCGACAGATGAAATTTGAGCTAAGACGATGGTATACTTTTTGTGATCCACATATTAACTTTTAGAGCTTACTAAAATTGCATCCGGAATATTGACAGTGGCAAAAAAGTAAATAAGGGTACCTAAGACGCACATTTTACGCGGGCCACTACCACTGTCATTTTGGAGGTAGGTACTTATCAGACTAACGGCTATTGTAGCTCATACATATCGGTTCTAACCTCTATATTTCTCTC